AAAAAAAAAAAAAAAAAAGATAGAAACCTAACTAATTCTTCCAAATCATTTAGCTCTGTTCAAAAGAGGTGCATTAAAAAAAAATTTCTGTTCTGTTAAATATAAATTCTGTCATCTTATTACACATTTTAATGCTCTCCTTCTCTTTTCTTTGTTTTTCATCCTCACAAATGCGCCCATTGTATTTATAATACTAGCTTTGTTTTTATTTTTTTCAACTTTGGAGAACAAAGGCGAAAAGAAAAAGGGAAGTACATTATCCAACACAACAACAAAGAACATTTCCACAGTTCAGTCCGGTAAAGAAACTGAACAATTGAAAAAACCGTTTCTGACTTTCCATTCATCCGCCTCCTCCTTTATTCCACCATTTCCACTGTAGAATCTTCTCGCTTCCTCCAGGCTTCCTACTGCTATTCCTGTCAAAAAAAAAGAAAGAGAAAAAAACTTTTTATAAAATTTATTTTTATTTTTCCGTAACATTCGTATGAAACCTCTGTACAGTCCTTCGGCTGTAAATACAGTGGGCTGCAAACTGTGGCTAATAGTAAGTCGCTAATAAGCACACTCCCTCTTCACCAGTTATATAAATACAAACATATCATACAGTGTGGCTGTTTAAATAGAAAAAAGACTGTATCTTGGGCGATTATCTGTTTTATAAAATGTTACAAGCAGTTAAAAATTCATGAAAATTAATAACAATATTCAAGATGAATATGAGTGAAGTAATTTTTTTTTTTTTTTTTTTTTTGGATTTGCAGTCAGAAGTTGGAGAAAATTATCTGCAGTTGTCAATTTTGAACTATTATTTGTTGATAAAAAACAGGTGCAATTCATTGCCTTGTTTTAATGAATTAATTTTCTTTTGTATTAAAAAATCTTTCCCATACTCTACTTTGATTCATTATCTTTACAAATAGATTGATTTTAATTATGAGCTATCAATACAACCTTTTAAGTACTTGTTACAGGATGAATTTGTGAGAAGTCTACAAGAAAAGAAAAATTCACGCACTGTGTAGTTAACAGCATTTTCCTGTTTTTTCTTTTTTTTTTTTACAAAGATCTTCATATGAAGTAATGACAAATATCGTTCTTCATGAAATTGAAAAAAAAAGTTTTTACATGCATATATGAGGAAATGGTGTGCTAATGAGAAGTGCCAAATGTTTTTTACAGCACGATAAAAAAAGAACTGACAGGGAAAAAGTACATGAAAACGACGAGGTTTTTTTTCCTGCTAATATATACAGTAAAAGCGTTAACGATCAGTGAAAAATTAAATTCCTGGCACACTGTTTTCTTCTGATTTACTTCAAATTTATTTATTATCTATTCTTCCTTTCCTGAGGTTGCCGTTGTTTTAATTCTGATGTTTTTTTCCTTTGTTTTTTTCCCTTCCACCTTCTCTCTCTTCCGATTTGTGTGGGTTTTAATACGTATTCATTCAAAGTTGTTGATGGCGAAATTTTAGCTACAGCTTTTCTTTTCTTTTTTTATTTTTATTTTTGTTTTTGTTTTTGTTTTTGTTTT